TCTGTATGGTCTCGATCTAAGCACACAGTCAGCCTCTTAGCACCAGGTGAACTCTTGGTTCAGAAGACAAAGGTTGGGGCCGGCAGGTGGCATGGTGGTTAAGGGCACTGGACTCCCACATGCCAACTGTGGTTTGAGTCCTAGACCTGGTGTCTTGCTTTTTCACTTTCCCTCTCTCTCTCTCTCCCTCCCTCTGTCCCTCTGTGTTCAAATTAAAATAAATAAAGTTAAATACAATAATTATTTTTTTAAAAAAGAAGACAAAGGTTGAATTCCATTGCCCCTTACCTTATGAAATAGATATGTTTCTGAAAAGATGTAGCTAGACTACATTCTTTTCTTTTTTTTTTTTTTAAAGAGAGATTTTTGCTTTAGGGCATGTGTACTTACCAGAAAGATAGAAAGACAGAAAGAGAGAAATCACCCCTGGGAGGATGGCCATGCCACAATTCTTTCTCCTCTATTCTTCTCTCAGGATTTTGGGCATGCACACACACATGCCTGGTGTGAGTTTTAAGTCACTGGGTCCGGGACTCAAACTGCAATCGACTACGTGGGAGTCCAGCGACGTAACCATTAGGCCATCTTCTGGTCCCTCTGAACTATATTCTATACATGTATAGAAGGGACATAGATTTGTGATGGGTGGTGTATTTCACTACATACCCTTATCCACATAAAGGGGCTGAGATTTGTCCCCAACAACATTATTAAGTAGCAAGGTCCCATTCTGTGTTGGGGTCATTACATGGTTTGGGTCATTCAAAGGAGATCATATGAGGCTGACCTGAGCGGGCTCATCAAAAAGTGGGATAGAGGGACCAGCAGTTAGCGTAATGGCTACGTCGCTGGACTCCCATGTAGTCACCGGACCCAGTTCGAGTCCCGGACTCAGTGGCTTAAATTGACACCGGGCATGTGTGTGTGCATGCATGCCCAAGATCCCAAGAGGAGAATGGAGGAGAAGGGATTGTGACATGGCCATCCCCTTGGAGGTTGATTTCTCACTTTCTGTCTCTCTGTCTCTCTCTGTCTTTCTGGAGAGCGCACGTGCCCTAGAGCAAAAACGTCTCCAATAAAAGAAAAAAGAAAAGGAAAAAAAGAGTGGGATAGAGCTGGGCATCGTATCTGTAGGCAGTGGGCAGGCAGGTGTTCATGGAGGGGCCTGGTTCACTGAGAACAGGAAAAGCAGTGCTCACCACCCGCAGTGTGTGACCCAGTCAGCAGGCATGGCTTGGCTTCCAGACGACAGCATGCTCTGTCTGCCAGTTGGTTCTCTCCATTCCTGAATCTCTCCCCACCCACCTGCATGGACACACCTGCCACCATGGTCCCTGCCCTAAGTCCTTGGTGACCTTAGCCCCTTTTCCAAGGCATTGCTTTTATTCCTTGTCCCCTGTGGTCTTCCTTTTGGAAACTCAAGAAACTCATCGGGATGGGGAAGTGTGGTGTTTCTCTTTGATTCCTGACACAAATATTCTAACTTTCTTGAAGATTACTCTAAGGACAAGGGAGAATTTTTACATGAAGATAATGTAGGAGGACCAGCCAGATAATGCAACTTGTAGTGTCCAGAACTGCAATGCTGGACAGCACAAGGCAGACCATGGGGGTCTGGATCCTCCATGGGATCCAGAATGTTAGTAACATCACAACCAACATTTACTACAATGAAGTGATCATCAAAGTCCTCATCAACTAGAATGTTAAATGACTCTATTAAAGTTTAAATGAATACAGCCTGAAAACACACTGGGCCCCTAAGGTCTGGAGGAGCTAGAAGCAGCACTGGGGAAAGAGGATCGCAGTGTGGCAAGACTCTGTCAAAGGTGTCTCTCTCTCTCTCTCTCTCTCTCTCTCTCTCTCTGTCTCTATCTCTTTCTGGTGTGCATGCCCATACTCTCTATTACGAGAAAAAAAAGATACTATTGAAACATATTTTACTACAAGTCAAGAGAAACATATGGAGTATCAGGCTTTCTAAAGAACATAATCCTGGGACCAGCAGTTAGCGTAATGGCTATGTCGCTAGACTCCCACGTAGTCGACCACGGTTCGCGTCCCGGACCTGGTGGCTTGAAACTCATGCTGGGCGCATGTGCATGCATGCCCAAGATCCCGAGAGGAGAATGGAAGAAAAGGGATTGTGGCGTGACCATCCCCCCTGGGGGTTGATTTCTCTCTTTCTGTCTCTCTGTCTCTCTCTGTCTGTCTGGTGAGCGCATGTGCCCTATAACAAAAACCTCTTAAAAAAAAAACAACATAATCCTTCTTTTTTAAAGCAAATCATCACATCTTGAGTTCTTGATTCTGTATTTTTTTATTGTCATACTCAGGTCTGTTCATTGCAGGTATGGCCATATCAGTGAAAGCCTCTAACTTCACCTTTCTCTCCTCCCTAGTTGGCCTGAATATTTATGTCCAAGTCCAGCCCAAATTAACGAAGTGAGTTGTCTTCACATCCCAGGTATTTCAGTCAACTGCTGAATTATCTGGTGCCTGCATACACCTCACCAGGGGGACTTAAACTCTGCCCAGGCAAAAAGGGTTCAGTGAACCGAGACAGAAAGAGCTCTGGGCAATGGGACAAATGCCTGTGTTTTGGTTCGAGAAGTGACTTTTATGAAATTAAGCACATTTGTACTAGTTCTTAAGAATTGTCTGATGCTTATTCAGACAGGAAGAAAATTGAGGTGTTTTTTTTTTTTTTTTTTTTCCCCAGGAGCTCTCTAACTGAAACATTCAAAATGACCTGAACTTAGCTTAGAGCAGAAGTCACAGGGCCAAGACTGAGAAATTAAGTAATTACATTTTTAAAGAGATAAGAGTGGAGAAGGTATCACTTTTCAAAAATATCTAATTCGGGTCAGTTGTTATGAAACTAAGAATATCTAGAATAGTTGCTTTCTTCTTACTTAAAAACTTTTTGCTTAACTTCATTTGTGTCTTCCTTCCATGAGTAAGAGAGACAGAAGCAGAGAGACAGCATTCCAGACAGGGTCTCCATGCCCTGATCCACCCCTCACCTCAGCCAGTCCCAGATTGTGGGCCTGTCTGTGCACGCTCACTGTACTCAGGGAAGTCTCTGGACAAAAACCTAGAACCTTTCCATGTAGGTCATTCTTTTCTTTGTTGTTTTAAGAGAGGTTTTTGCTATAGGGCACATGAGCTCGCCAGAAAGACAGAGAGAGACAGAGAGACAGAAGCAAGAAATCACCCCCCCGGGGGGATGACCACACTGCAATCCCTTCTCCTCCATTTTCCTCTCAGGATCTTGGGCACGCAGCCAGCGTGAGTTTAAGTCACTGGGTCCAGGACTCGAACCACGGTTGACTACATGAGAGTCCAGCGACATAGCCATCACACTAACTGCTGGTCCCTCCATGTGGGTCATTCTTGAAGAATGTTGTGTTTAACCACTATGCCCCCATCAGACTCCCTTAAAGTGTTTTAAAATTGCTTATAATGCTTATATGGGACCTCTGAGCAAGGAGTATGTATGTGTGCACATGTGTGTGCATGCATATATGTGTACATAAAATTTATGTGTGAGGGTCTTTCTTACTTACTCTCACTAACCCCCCAAATACACATATTCTAGAAAACCAATGCTGGTCTTGACGGCCATCTTTAGACTAAAGTACATTCTAGTTTAGAAGCTAAGCAATTACAAACTGTAGTTTTGCTCTTTGTTAACAACCTGTTTTTAAGTCCAGCAGACCAACATCTCTTTTGCGTCTGATTATACTCCTAAAACTCCACTCCAAGTTCAGCATCAGCAAATCCCGGCCTGCCAGTAGGTCAGATCACTTCCTTGCTTTGTTGGTGCATTGCATTGAAAAGACAGACTCAGAGGAAAAGTAGCTGCTGTGGTAGAGCCCACACGGCTCTTCTCAGACCACAGCGTGAGATGGTTTTGCTTAAAGCCAATCGCTCTGAGATAACTGGTCTACCCAGGGTGGCTGTGTAGGCATGCTTGCGGCAAACAGCCAAGGCTCACATGATATCCATGTATTCCACACCCATAACCACACCCGCATGCAGCGTAAGCAGTGTCTACTCTTCAGAGGCCTTCTTCATGTAATCTTTTACTCCCTGATAATAGCTCTTGGTGATTAATTTTGTTTCTTTTGGCCCCTTTCATAGAAACAGGTTTTGACAGGTAGTCCGTGTTTTTCACACTGAGAAAAAATGGAATTGAAGAGAGTGTTTTCAGATGAATTAATTCCAATGATGATGAGCTCCACGTTAGAAGAAATGCTAATTCTTCCTGGAATGCAACTAGACGCACACTGCTTAATTATGTATATCTGTCTCATTCCCAAAAGGGTTTGAAGTGGCTTCTAAAAGATGAATGAAATTAATAGCAAAGGATATTGGGCAGGAATTGAATATTTCCAGATGATTTCAGTTCCCTATTGCTGTGGCTGTTCATTTCACTTCATGAGGTATAAGAAATGAGGAAGCGTAACTGACTGGGAAAATTGACACTGAGTCTGGGAATACCCTTCTTTAAATCAGAGACTTACAGGACTGACTGACTTTCTGGCAAGCACACATGCCATATGCCAAAAACCTCTCAAAAAGAATGAGTTTATTTTGGAGTAAAAATATTTCGAGGACTGGGTCTGTAGTGTAGCAGTACAGTATTACCTGAGACTGGACCCCACGTAGCAACAGTGGTTTGAATTCCTGGTCCAATCAGCTTGAAACACGGAGCACATACAGGAATGACCATGATCCTATTGGCTAGAGGAGTGGAGAAGCGGGTTTTGGCATGACCATATTCACTTTGGAGAAACACTTCTCTCTCACACATATACGTACACATAGACACGCTCTATTACAAATAAATAAAACTTTTGAAATAGATGTAGAGCTTTTTCGCAGTATGTATTTTCCATGAACTTACTTCATAATTGGACTTTTCCTCCACATTGGCCCTGAGCTGGGAGGATCAGTCCCGTGTTCTCAAACACAAATCAGCTTCAGGATTCTTATGCCCAAAGAAGGATTTAATACAGGTTTTTTCATTGGGGGGAACAAGGAGGAAGGAGATGGAGGAGAGGGGGCTTTTGTTTTCTTTCCTCTTGATCCAGTACGTGGTAGTCTCCTAGGTTCTTCAATAAAACAACAAAATGGTCAGAGAACAACACAATTTTAAAAAGTGTGTGGTTGACTACATGGGAGTCCAATGACATAGCCATTACGCCAACTGCTGGTTCCCCAGTTTACTTCTTTTTTTTTTTTTTGGAGAGAGTTTTTTTGTTTTTGTTTTTGTTTGTTTGTTTGTTTTTGCTATAGGGTGTGTGCGCTCGCCAGACAGAGAGAGATAGAGAGACAGAAAGTGAGAAATCACCCCCCAGGGGGGATGGCCACGCAGCAATCCCTTCTCCTCCATTCTCCTCTCAGGATCTTGAGTTTAAGCCGCTGGGTCTGAGACTCGAACTGTGGTCGGCTATGTGGGAGTCCAGCGACATAGCCATTACGCTAACTGCT